TAGTCCTGATTATTGAGAATTTCTTCTAGTCTTTCAGAGATTTGGAATTTCGATTCACACTTAGCATCAAACATGAGCCAAGCAGGATCCACCTTGAATTCTAAGGTTATTCTGGAGCAGCTCTTGATTAAAAACCAAGAATGAGTGGTTCTTAGTTTAGATACTTAAGATACAGAGAATACAATGAAAGAAATCAGACTCCCCCTCCAAAAAGGTGAGAAGGAACCTATAGGTCTGCCTCTTGTGTCTAATTTATGTAGTTATTTATTTTTTGATTTATGTATTTAGAAATTCTTAAGGAGCAGAGTATTAGTCTATTCCAATTTTAGAAACTCTTATATAACATCTTTTCTGGTCATAGGGTACCATTTTAAAACACCTTTTAACATTTTTATCATGAAGACACTGTAAGATGTTCAGGGTCATCTGTCATCAGCACATGAGACTCTTAACCATGAAGTATAGACCCCAGCTCAGAGGTAACGTTCACACTGCTAGCACTTGGTAGAGCTAGGGCCCTGGCATCTAGACCTAGGTGTGTTTCTGAAACATCTTACCCAAAATGTAGAGTATTAAGTCACCTAATACCAGAAAACACAGTTTACATAGTAAGTTTTGGGTTTTTTAGGATCTTGCATTTTGTTTTTTAAGAAGATTTTCTAATAAAAGTATGTATATTATTTCTTTTGTCTTAATATGCAAAATTAACTTTCACTTAAAAAAAACACAAGACTGGAGCTTTTTTTGAAATACAAATACTTTTTTGTATTTCTGCCTAATAGTTCTTAGACGCAGTTGATTTTTAAAAATGTGTTGAGGGTTAAAAGAAAACCAAACATGCACATATTCTAAAGCATTCATTTAAAAAGATCTGGAATTCAGTGAACTTTAAAAATTGATTTCTGCAGTTTTACAGAATGATTTTAAGTTTTGTTCTTGACATTTCTGTTCATTTATTAGCTAAATTGTTCCTCAGGTTTTTGGTATTTTTAACTTAATGCTTTGTGTTGGGGGGAAGTTTCTGTTTTGCCTAAAAGCATACAAACTTTAAAGAAGAATCAGTAACAAGTCTGAATTTTCTGTTAAGTTGAACTAGTTGAGGAATAGCAGAGTAGATTTTTTAGTTACATCTCTTGTCTATGGGTTATAAGAGCCCCAAGTAGATTTCTGAAACTGCCTATTGTACTCAACTATATATACTGTTTTTCTCCTATATGTGCCTACCGATGATAAAGTTAAAATTAAGCACAGTAAGAGACTGACACTAATAAAATGGAACAGTTATAGCAATATACTGTAATACTGCAAGTGGTCTGAAAATATTTGACTGTACTGTGGGTAACAAACCACTGAAAGTGAAACTACAGTAAGGGAGGACTCCTGTACATATCTTTTAAAAGTCAATTTGGTCATGCGCTCTGAAATTAAGTTTAACTACCTTAAGAAAGCATGTGAGATGATTATGCTATCCCATGACTAATTTAATAGAATTTGACTAGGGTTTGTATTGACGGGGCGAGGCAATTAGGAATGCTTGTTGAAGAAGAAATTGCTAAAGCTATTAGAAGTATTGGGTTATCAGTGAAAGTTGATAATGTGTTGGCTAATTTCTTACAGAAGAAACCTATTTGTTGAGAATTTTATACATGTAGTTGACAATCTTGATTACTTAGCAGGTTTTAATTCAGTCTTACCCAAAGCCTAGAAGCTTTGGTTGTCTTTTTACATCATATTTAGAGTACATATTTGGTAAGAGTTATTTTATTTCTTAAATGGTAAATACCAAAGTTTTGTTAAATAGAATTGCAGTATTAGCATATATACCACAGCAAATGAACTCAAGTAAAATTTTCAACATCGTTGATTGCCCTTTTAATGTAATCCAAAGTGAGTGGGAGAGGCTTCCCAAAGTCACAAAAGAATTAAGTTTGCCTATATAAAAAATAAATCTCTACATTCAAGTTTGGGGCTTTCAGTGATCCTTTTCACTTTTCACTGGGAACTGAGAGGAGATTAGCAAGGGGGTCTCCCCACCCTCTAATCCCACGTGGGTCCAGGGAGTAAACACTCCTGCCATCTGAGACACAGAGTGTGGGGACAGAGCCTGGGACAGAGGCTCTGAGCTGTGAGGGGGCCCTCAGGCAGCCCTGAGCCCTCACCTGGCCTCAGTGAGCAGAAGGAGGCAGCAGGGGAAGGGAGAAGACCTCGTGTGGGAAGCACCTCTGCTCTGTTCCCCCAGGCCCCTCCTGGAAGCCCAAGGCCCCCATCTGCTCACACACCCCTTCCCAGGGGCAGACTGCCCCTTCTTTAAACCTGTGCTCCTCCCTTGGGCTGTGCTGCCCCACTCAGGGCAGAGTGTGATCTGCCCCTGGGAGCTGGTGCTGGGACAGAGACCACAGGGATGGTGTGACCTGCACACCCCAGAGGCTCTGGGAGGGACACCTGATAGGACAGGGGACCCTGCGGAGAGGACTGGGACACGGTTGTTCTGTGATCTTCTCTAAGGCCTCTGGGGCACAGACTCAGGCCTCCTGTAGCTTCAGAGCTCATGTCCTTTCCATGTTTTAACTTTTTCACTGATCGTGGCCCTGGACTTCTTTTCTCTGACAAGAAAAAAGAATTCTTTGTGATTGGTCAGAAAGGAGAATCTCTTCTAGTGCTGCACCCCCATTACCACATCTGCCCTAGACCTGTCCTCTGACCTCCCCCTGCCCACTTCACTTTGCTTTTCTGCATAACCCCAGGGCCTCAGCCCCACAAGACTGTCTCTGCAGGACCCACACTGCAGACAGCTCAGCCTCTGACAGGACAGCTGGGCCTGGGCTGCCCATGGATGAGCCTCCCTCTCATTTCCCTTCTGCCCCAGCCCTAGGCCAAGCCAGAGCCAGGCCTTGCTGATGCTGAGCCTACACGTCCCTCAGGGTCAGATTTCACTGTCACAGTCAGTTCCTGATGTACAGACATGGAGATGGAGATTCTGTCTCAACAGACGGCTGTATGTCCTTTCTGATCATCCCAGACACTGGCTGTCTACCAGACAGTTCCCAGCTTTTGGTAACCTATCGACAGTGGAGGATTAAAGACCTGGATGGTAAGAAAATCCCAAGATCCAGGGGCCCATCATGGTGCAGGAAGGAGCAGGGAGCAGAGGGCAGCTCCCCTGGTGGTTCTTGGTCGATGCTGGACCAGGCGACACCTCTGTCTGGGCTGCGATTTTTGTCCTTTACTCTCCAGGAACTGAGGTACATTCCAACATCATCTTAACTGAAGAAACAAAAAGAGGAGAGACTCAGATTCTTGAGAACTAACATCAGGAAGGGAAGTGTGAGGAATCCCAGAGCCATCTCTTTACAGGGAGGGCTCATGTGCACCTGGAATCCAAGAGTCCCCTGGGGACACACTCTGAGGATAAAGAGGACCCAGATTCCCTAAGGCTTCAGAGGTCAGGGAATGATTCACAAAGCCCAGGCCAGATGCAGTCAATATGTACGGGGCTGGGTAGAGTGGCCCTGGGTGTGTAATGTCACCTAAGCTACATTTCTAGTCCTCATGATACCCCTCCCACATGTGGGGGGCTCTCTTAGCCTCCAGAAACAAAAGTTCTTGCACTGGGAAGCCGGTGGGGAAAGGTGGGATTCTCTTTGACCCCATGAGGATGAGCCAAGGTAAGAGCCTCAGTCTTTCTGGGAGCAGTGACAGCAGAAGCCACAACCTGAGCAGAGGTTGG